AGGGAAGGGCAACACCACCACCCCCCTCTGCATAGAAACCCTCCCTTTCCCTCACCCTACCTGCCCCCACTCGAATGCTCACCCAACCCTCCCCCCCCACCCCATTCTGATCTAGTCTCCCCACCCTCATTCCCACCATGTCCCCCCCTCCCACCTTACCCCCCTTATCCCCCCCTCCCCCTTCATCCCATACCCTCCCTATCCCTCTTCCCCCTCACCCCGTATCCTCCATGTCCCCCCTTCCCTTGAACCCCCACCCCCACCCCAAAATCCTCTGAGATCCTGCAAACCTCCTCACAGATCTTCACACCCAGGGAACAGCTTTCCCCACCAGCAGAACACTCACCAAGAAGGTGACGAGAGAATGAACAGAAGAAAGTGAGCTTCAAGGCAATGTACACTAACATAGATGGTATTACAAATAAAACAAGTGAACTCGGAGAATGGGCACTAGAAGAAAACCCAGACATAATAACACTCACAGAAACAAAGCTAACGAAAACCATAACAAATGCAGTGTTTCCACAGGACTACTATGTAGTGAGGAAAGAGAGAGAAGGGGAGAGGAGGAGGTGGTGTAGCTTTGCTGATAAGAAAAGGTTGGAGTTTTGAAGAGATGGTTAATCAGAGCTGTGAAGGTTTCAGTGACTACATGTCAGGCACCATAGCAACTGGAGGACAGAAAATTATAGTAGTAGTCATATATAACCCCCACCAAACGACAGAAGACCCAGACAGCAATATGATAGAAACAACATGGCCACCATCAATATAATAGAGAGAGCAGCTTCTGTGGCTATCAGGAACGGATCCAGACTACTAATTATGGGAGACTTCAACATACGGGAAGATAGATTGGGAAAACAGAGACCCTGCATGAAGGACCAGACACATGGAGAGCTAAGCTCCTGGACGTGGCAACAAGAAACTTTCTAAGTGAACACGTCAAGGGACCGACAAGAATGAGAGGAGAGGATGAACCAGCTTTGCTTGATCTGATATTTACCCTTAATGAGTCGGATATAAAGGAAGTTAAGTTGGAAGCCCCCTTGGGAATAAGTGATCAGAGTGTATTGAGCTTTCAGTACCTGGTTAAGCTAGGAATTATCTCTCCAAAAAAAGAACTGGGAAACAAAGGGCTGGCACACCGAAAGGGAAATTATGAGGAGATGAATAAATTCCTAAGGGATATACCATGGGACACAGAACTCAGAATTATGCCAGTACAAGACATGATGGACTATGTCACCCAAAAGTGTCAGGAGGCGGTAAACAGGTTTATCCTGGCCCGACAGGGAAAAACCGAGAAGCAAAAGAAGAATCCATGGTTTAATAGGGAATGTATGAAAGCAGAGGAGCTGAACAAAAGGGCGTGGAGGAACTTCCGTAATAACAGAACACCAGAAAGTAGAGAGAGATTCCAGAAAACCAGGAACGAGTATGTTAGTGTGAGAAGAGTAGCTGAGAAAAGCTTTGAAAATGATATAGCTAATAAAGCCAAGACCGAACCAAAGCAAGCCGAACCGAACCGAACCAAGACCGAAAGACACAGTCACATCAGGAGGAAAACAACAGTGAAGGAACAGGTGATGAAACTTAGAACGGGTGAGGACAGGTATACAGAGAATAACAAAGAGGTGTGTGAAGAACTCAACAAGAGGTTCCAGGTCTTTACAATAGAACAAGGAGAGGTCATGGTGCTAGGAGAGGTGGCAGCAAACTAGGCGACCTTGGGAGGGTTCGAAATTACAAGAGATGAGGTCAAGAGGCACCTATTGGAGTTGGACGGGAGAAAGGCTGTTGGGCCGGATGGAATCTCACCATGGGTATTGAAAGAGTACAGGAGCACTTTGTTTGCCACTCTCCATAGTGTATAGTAGGTCACTGGAAACGGAAGAGCTACTAGAAATATGGAAGACGGCTAATGTAGTCCAAATATACAAAAAGGGTGATAGACAAGAAGCACTGAACTACAGACCAGTGTCCTTAACTTGTATACCATGCACAACCCATCAACATGGGTTCAGGAAGGGTAAATCTTGCCTTACAGGCTTAATAGAATTCTACGATCAGGTGAAAAAGATTAAGCAAGAAAGAGAAGTATGGGCGGACTGCATTTTTTGGACTGTCGGAAAGCCTTTGACACAGTACCCCATAAAAGGCTGATGCATAAGCTGGAGAAACAGGCAGGAGTAACTGGTAGGGCGCTCCAGTGGATAAGGGAGTACCTAAGCAATAGGAAGCAGATAGTTACAGTGAGGGGTAAGACCTCAGATTGGCATGAAGTCACCAGTGGAGTCCCACATGGCACTGTTCTATCTGGACCTATCCTGCTTCTGATATACGTCAATGATCTCCCAGAGGGTATAGACTCATTCTTCTCAATGTTTGCAGACGACGCCAAAATTATGAGAATGATTAAGATAGAGGAGGACAGCTTGAGGCTTCAGGAAGACCTGGACGAGCCGCAGGAATGGTCGCACAAATGGTTGTTAGAGTTTAACCCAAGCAAATGTAATGTAATGAAGATAGGTGTAGGGAGCAGGAGACCAGATGCAAGGTATCATTTGGGAGATGAAATACTTCAAAAGTCAGAGAGAGAGAAAGACCTGGGGATTGATATTACGGCAGACCTGTTCCCTGAAGCTCATATCAAGAGGATAACATCAGCGGCATACCAGGTTGGTTAACATAAGAACGGCCTTTAGAAACTTGTGTAAGGAATCTTTTAGAACATTATATACCACATATGTCAGACCAATCATGGAGTATGCAGCTCCAGCATGGAGTCCATATCTAGTCAAGCATAAGACTAAACTGGAAAAAGTTCAAAGGTTTGCCACCAGACTAGTACCCGAACAGAGGGGTATGAGCTACAAGGAGAGACTACGGGAATTAAACCTCACGTCACTGGGAGAGAGAATATATATTTTTTTTAAGACAGAAGACAGTGACGTGGGAAAAGACTCCCACGTCACTGGGAGATATATTTTCCCATGTCTGAAATACAAGCGTGTTAAATTTCAGGGAAATTGATGGGGTATTGACAGAGTTGTAACAGTAAAGTAAGGCGGAGGACAAGAGCTAGAACTCGATTTAGTGTTCGGATCTATTTTACTACGTATGAAATATAGTGGTCTTAAATTTAAGGGGATTGGACTGTTAGTAAAGATGTTATGGGGGTAAAGTAAGGCGAGGACAGGAGCTAGAACTTGCTTACTGACTTTATTTGATTTACTATGTCTGAAATATGGGGGATTAAATTTCAGGTTTTGGTTAGATACTAAAGAAAATACGAGAGAGAACTAAGGCGGGGGACGGGAGCTGGAACTCGGTAATTTAATTTTCTTTTATTACTATGGGAGAAATAACTATTTTAATATTTCAGGGGAAATTGATAGGTGAATAGCGAACTTATAAACGTATAGAGCCGAATCCAAGAGCTAATATCTGATGAACTTTTAAAAATATCTGTTCATTAATTATATTCAAAAGAACTCTTAAGAACTCAGTGAGGATTAAACTCTAACGAATTTTGGTCTGAAAGTGGACTCTCATCAATTTTGGTCTCCGATTGGACTATATCGAATTTGGGTCTCAATGTGGGCTCAAATTTTGGGTTTAAATGTCAAAATTTTGTCAATCCAACATCAAATTTTGGGTTTAAACTGGACTATGACGAATTTTTTTCTTTTTACTGGACTCTGACAAATTTTGGTCGAACACTGGACTAATTTCGGTCTTCAACTGGACTCTGTTCAATTTCGGTCTTATATGGTCTTTGAGATTATTTTGGTCTCTCATATTTCGGTCTTGAACTGGGGAAACAGCAGTAAATGGTTATAAAAACTAAAACTTACTACTAACATGTCTGTTTTCCTTAACAAACCTTCTATGGCAATATTATCTGAAAGTGGTCTTTTGAAATATTTTTTGGACTTACACTCTTAAATATACTTCTATGATCATATAAACGCTAAAATATTTTCATAAAACTGAACTTTGAAAAATTTAGAATTTTCCCCCCAAGAAACCTTTATGAATTTAGCTGAAACTGGGACCGTGAATTTTCTCCGTAAGAATCCTTTAAGACCTTAGCTGAAACTAGCAAAGTTTACCTGGAAACTCTACAGCGCATCGACAACTGGGAAATTTACCTTTAACCCCCGACAACGTAGCTGAAATTGACTCCAAAAATTCTCAGTTTCTGATACGCTGTCTATTTTCCGGGACGGAAAAAAAGAGGACGTTGCGTTGTCTATTTTCTAAGACGAAAAAAAAGAATACACTGCGTTGTCATCCCTACTACTATCTGCCACCCAAACCCACTCATGTGCCACCCAACCTACACACACAACTGCCATCCAAACCCACACATCTGCCACCCAACCTACACACACAACTGCCATCCAAACCCACACAACTGCCACCCAACCTACACACACAACTGCCATCCAAACCCACTCATGTGCCACCCAACCTACACACACAACTGCCATCCAAACCCACACATCTGCCACCCAACCTACACACACAACTGCCATCCAAACCAACACATCTGCCACCCAACCTACACACACAACTGCCATCCAAACCCACACAACTGCCACCCAACCTACACACACAACTGCCATCCAAACCCACACATCTGCCACCCAACCTACACACACAACTGCCATCCAAACCCACACAACTGCCACCCAACCTACACACACAACTGCCATCCAAACCCACACAACTGCCACCCAACCTACACACACAACTGCCATCCAAACCCACACATCTGCCACCCAACCTACACACACAACTGCCATCCAAACCAACACATGTCACCCAAGCCCACACACATATACCACCCAACACACACACATATCTGACACCCAACCCACACATATCTGAGAATCAAGGAAGTGACGTTAGGATCCACCGAGAGGGCGCCTGATCACGACACTTAGGATCTTCACCTGGTGGTTGTCAAGGGAACTACGAGGTGTTCTTACCAAGGCCAGGAATCCAAGAATAAGACTTCCGGTCCGTAACTTGAAGCAACAACAACTGCGTGGTTCCCACATCTTGAAATCTGAAACACAACAATCAAAATATATATATATATATATATATATATATATATATATATATATATATATATATATATATATATATATGTCGTACCTAGTAGCCAGAACTCACTTCTCAGCCTACTATGCAAGGCTCGATTTGCCTAATAAGCCAAGTTTTCATGAATTAATGTTTTTTCGTCTACCTAACCTACCTAACCTAACCTAACGTAGCTTTTTTTGGCTACCTAACCTAACCTTACCTATATATATAGGTTAGGTTAGGTTAGGTAGGGTTGGTTAGGTTCGGTCATATATCTACGTTAATTTTAACTCCAATAACAAAAATTGACCTCATACATAGTGAAAAGGGTAGCTTTATCATTTCATAAGAAAAAAATTATAGTAAATATATTAATTCAGGAAAACTTGGCTTATTAGGCAAATCGGGCCTTGAATAGTAGGCTGAAAAGTGAGTTCTGGCTACTAGGTACGACATATATATATATATATATATATATATATATATATGTCGTACCTAGTAGCCAGAACGCACTTCTCAGCCTACTATTCAAGGCCCGATTTGCCTAATAAGCCAAGTTTTCATGAATTAATGTTTTTTCGTCTACCTAACCTACCTAACCTAACCTAACCTAGCTTTTTTTGGCTACCTAACCTAACCTTACCTATAAATATAGGTTAGGTTAGGTTAGGTAGGGTTGGTTAGGTTCGGTCATATATCTACGTTAATTTTAACTGCAATAAAAAAAAATTGACCTCATACATAGAGAAAAGGGTTGCTTTATCATTTCATAAGAAAAAAATTATAGTAAATATATTAATTCAGGAAAACTTGGCTTATTAGGCAAATCGGGCCTTGAATAGTAGGCTGAGAAGTGAGTTCTGGCTACTAGGTACGACATATATATATATATATATATATATATATATATATATATATATATGTCGTACCTAGTAGCCAGAACGCACTTCTCAGCCTACTATGCAAGGCCCGATTTGCCTAATAAGCCAAGTTTTCCTGAATTAATATATTTACTATAATTTTTTTCTTATGAAATGATAAAGCAACCCATTTCATTATGTATGAGGTCAATTTTGTTTTATTGTAGTTAAAATTAACGTAGATATATGCCAGAACCTAACCAACCCTACCAAACCTAACCTAACCTATCTTTATAGGTTAGGTTGGGTTAGGTAACCGAAAAAGGTAGGTTAGGTTAGGTTAGGTAGGTTAGGTCGTCGAAAAAACATTAATTCATGAAAACTTGGCTTATTAGACAAATTGGGCCTTGCATAGTAGGCTGAGAAGTGCGTTCTGGCTACTAGGTACGACATATATATATATATATATATATATATATATATATATATATATATATATATATATATATATATATATATATATCTTCGGTGATGCGTTTTAATATTAGTATATTTTGGTAGCAATCTTTCCTGTAGACATATATTATTAAATATGACCGAAAAACTAAGATTAATAATTCTAACAAGAATTTTCTCAATATTTCTTATGTTTCTTTTCACTGTCGATGGTAATTGAAAAATCAGTTCTCCAAAATTCATTTTTATTTCTAGTCTGACGCGACACTTTGAACGCGTTTCGTAATAACTTATTACATTTTCAAAGACTTTAGTTTACATACACACAACTATAACCTGCAAACACTAAACAGATTTCTTACTATGCTATAATTCAAACGGCTTTTCATTTTATATACCTGCATTTGGGTGAGGTGATATGTTACAACAGTTTTGGATGAGGTGAAAACAAACTTTCAACACAAGATAGAACACGAAATATTGGGTAATATTGGGTAAATTTAAAGGGGAAGAATGGAACTAAATGCAAAGGGCCTTTTGGCCCATATTTCTTGATGCTTCTATATTGGTGCGGAGTCTTGAAGTGGGTAGAATATAGTTGTGCATTAATTGGCTGTTGTTTGCTGGTGTTGACTTCTTAATGTGTAGTGCCTCGCAGATATCAAGCCGCCTGCTATCGCTGTATCTATCGATGATTTCCGTGTTTTTTGTTAAGACTTCTCTGGTGATGGTCTGGTTGTGGGAAGAGATTATATGTTCCTTAATGGAGCCCTGTTGCTTATGCATCGTTAATCGCCTGGAAAGAGATGTTGTTGTCTTGCCTATATATTGAGTTCTTTGAGGCTTACAGTTCTTTGAGGCTTTGAGGAAGCGAAGAAACTGAACAAAAGGGCATGGAGGAACTTCCGGAATAACAGAACGCTAGAAAGCAGAGATACCAGAGAACCAGGAATGAGTACCTCAGGGTGAGAAGAGAAGCAGAGAAAAGTTTTAAAAATGATATAGCAAACAAAGCCAAGACTGAACCAAAGCTACTCCACAGTCACATCAGAAGGAAAACAACAGTGAAAGAACAGGTATTGAAACTTAGAACAGGCGAGGACCGGAGAATGACAGAGAGGTGTGTGAAGAACTCAACAAGAGGTTCCAGGAGGTCTTCACAATAGAACAAGGTGAGGTCACTGTGCTAGGAGAAAGGGAGGTAAACCAGGCGGCCTTGGAAGAGTTCGAAATTACGAGAGAGGAGGTCAAGAGACACCTGCTGGATCTGGATGTTAGAAAGGCAGACGGGATCTCACCATGGACACTGAAAGAGTGTGCAGAGGCACTTTGCTTGCCACTCTCCATAGTGTATAGTAAGTCACTGGAGACGGGAGACCTGCCAGAAATATGAAAGACGGCGAATGTGGTCCCAATATACAAAAAGGGCGACAGGCAAGAGGCACTGAACTACAGGCCAGTGTCCTCAACTTGTATACCATGCAAGGTGATGGAGAAGATCGTGAGAAAAACCTGGTAACACATCTGGAGAGAAGGGACTTCGTGACAAATCGCCAACATGGGTTCAGGGAGGGTAAATCTTGCCTTACAGGCTTGATAGAATTCTATGATCAGGTGACAAAGATTAAGCAAGAAAGAGAGGGCTGGGCAGACTGCATTTTCTTGGATTGTCGGAAAGCCTTTATCACATTACCGCATAAGAGGCTGGTACATAAGCTGGAGAGACAGGCAGGTGTTGCTGGTAAGGTGCTCCAGTGGATAAGGGAGTACCTAAGCAATAGGAAGCAGAGAGTTACGGTGAGGGGTGAGACCTCCGATTGGCGTGAAGTCACCAGTGGAGTCCCACAGGGCTCTGTACTCGGTCCTATCTTGTTTCTGATATATGTAAATGATCTCCCGGAGGGTATCGATTCATTTCTCTCGATGTTTGCGGACGATGCTAAAATTATGAGAAGGATTAAAACAGAAGAGGATTGTTTGAGGCTTCAAGAAGACCTAGACAAGCTGAAGGAATGGTCGAACAAATGGTTGTTAGAGTTTAATCCAACCAAATGTAATGTAATGAAGATAGGTGTAGGGAGCAGGAGGCCAGATACAAGGTATCATCTGGGAGAGGAAATTCTTCAGGAGTCAGAGAAAGAAAAAGACTTGGGGGTTGATATCACACCAGACCTGTCTCCTGCAGCACATATCAAGAGGATAACATCAGCGGCATATGCCAGGCTGGCCAACATACGAACGGCATTCAGAAACTTGTGTAAGGAATCTTTCAGAACTTTGTATACCACATATGTCAGGACAATCCTGGAGTATGCAGCCCCAGCATGGAGTCCATATCTAGTCAAGGATAAGACTAAACTGGAAAAGGTTCAAAGGTTTGCCACCAGACTAGTAACCGAGCTGAGAGGTATGAGCTACGAGGAGAGACTACGGGAATTAAACCTCACTTCGCTGGAAGACAGAAGAGTTAGGGGGGGACATGATCACCACATTCAAGATTCTGAAGGGAATTGATAGGGCAGATAAAGACAGGCTATTTAACACAAGGGGCACACGCACAAGGAGACACAGGTGGAAACTGAGTGCCCATATGAGCCACAGAGATATTAAAAAGAACTTTTTTAGTGTCAGAGTGGTTGACAAATGGAATGCATTAGGAAGTGATGTGGTGGAGGCTGACTCCATACACAGTTTCAAGTGTAGATATGATAGAGCCCAATAGGCTCAGGAATCTGTACACCTGTTGATTGACGGTTGAGAGGCGGGACCAAAGAGCCAGAGCTCAACCCCCGCAAACACAACTAGGTGAGTACACACAGTGGTGGTGGGGCGCCGGTGGTTCAGTGGACAACACGCTGGATACGTAATCCTGTGGATCGGGGTTCGATTCCCAGCGCCGGCGGAAACAGATGTGCCGAGTTTCTTTCACCCTGATGCCCTTGTTATCTAGCAGTAAATAGGTAGCTGAGAGTTACACAGCTGTTACGGGCTGCTTCCTGGGGTGTGTGTGTGTGAAAACAAAAGTAAATTAGTTATTAGTATTAACAGTTGTTTGATTGACAGTTGAGAGGCGGGCCGAAAGAGCAGAGCTCAACCCCCGCAAGTACAACTAGGTGAATACACACCAGGTGGGTGGATGGGACCGGGAATGGGTCCCCGGTCCCAAGGATGGACCGGGGACCGATCCCCGGCGATGGTGGAAAAAATGGGCAGTTTCTTTCACCCTGACGGCCTAGTTGTAACACCGTAACGGTATTTTGTTTAGTTGTATTTAATATATATATATATATATATATATATATATATATATATATATATATATATATATATATATATATATATATATATATATATATATATATAGTACATGAGTCAAGCCAGAAAAGGATTTGAGAGGCGCTAGTCTGTCGGCCTGAATCTCACACCTCTAAGCGTTAATGACCACCAAATGACCTGAGGTCAGCTCATGCGAATTTCACCTTGCTTCTGTTAATCTGATAATTGTAGCCTGATAGCCTTCAAACATGCCGACGTTTAAGGAGTGGTTTGGTAGAGAGCCTCGGGCTATCTACTTGGGGGCGGAGATAGCTACTAGGTTTCCAATATATACTCGGTGAGCTGTAGATAGGAGGACAAGCAATAGGAGAAGATCAGCGGAGCAGAA